GCCAATCTGGGTCACTCCACAGAGGATCAGCGGGCGACAGCCGCCGTGTCCACTTTTAGAAAGGCCCCGCGTGCCTGGGGACCGTCCCCCGGCCCCGCGGTGACCAGCGAACAGCAACTGCGTGGTTTCGCTATTTCTAGCCTTCAGGCTCCAAGAAATATCACCTTACCTGAGAAACAGGACAGTAAATGGGAAACGCAAATCAGATACTGGCATCGGATACTTTGGTTTCCAACATCTTTTAAAAAGCTGTTAGTTTATAATTCAGTATAAAGGTCCACATATAGTGGGAAGAAAGCAGAGCCAAAGTATCCAGGATGGATCTTTTTATTTTGTGTTTTTAATCAACACTTCAAAAACCAATCTGGTTCATTCGATCACATTTTTACACCTAGTAGAACCAATTGGGCACTTGATATTCAATGATGCCTCTAAAAATGACACTTTCCTGTTCTTATAAGAATAGGAATAAAACAATCTATGAATGCCTCTTTTTTTAACCACTCCCAGATTACAATTTTATGCTCACCTCCAAGAAGTAGCCACTACTCTTTTTTATTTTAATTCTTCCCTTCCTTTCCTCACCACCCACCCACGTGTTCTCATATATTATCACATTTTAATTAAATGTCAGTAACAATTGGTGGGGGCCTCTGGAGCATCCACTTTGCCCGTTTTTCTACCAAAAGTACCCAGATCTTCCTTTAGGGAATTCACTGCTTCTCTGTTGGGTCGCAGCCAACATTTTTGATAGGGACGGACCAGGGATCCGCTCCAGCTGATCGACTCATCTGTTCCCCGGCGGCATGAATGAGGGGTGTCCTCTTTCTCTGCCCAGAGGGCACAAAGAGAACAGAAGGACTGGAGCTCACCGTCAGCCCTCGGTGGAAAACCTGGACCTTCTCAGGTGGGGCAGGGCAGTGTGGCGGCTCCATGGGAGGGCAGAGCACAAAGCCACGCCAAGCACAGTGGACGGGTCCCTGCGGACGTCACCAGGCTGCTGAGTCAGCCTTGCCTCAAGCAGGCATCTATCTGAGGACTGCCAATGAGCCAGTAAACTATCTATTTTTCTAGCGACAGTTTGGGTTGGATTTCTGTTGCTCACAATCATAAGAATGCTAACCAAAACACACACAAAAGGCCGGGTGCGGTGGCTCACGCCTGTAATCCCAGCACTCTGGGAGGCCGAGGTGGGAGGATCGCTCAAGGTCAGGAGTTCAAGACCAGCACTGAGCAAAAGTGAGAATCCTATCTCTACCAAAAACAAAAATTAGCCAGGCATGGGTCTGCGTGTGTCTCCCGTACCACTGAGTCACTACGACATGCCCAATAAACATACGACAAATGCATGAGTAACGTCCCAGACTGAGGCGATTGTCAAGCCTTGGTGTAGAGAGAATCCAAGTGACGACAATAACGGAAGCGGGGAAGTCAGGGACCCTCAGACCAGCCGCTGACTCTCAAGTCTCTCTCCTCATTTCCAACTCACCTTCCAAGAGCTTCTCATGAGTAACTCTTGTAGGTTTCCCTGGGGAGAAAAGTGCCGCTTTAAGTACTACCAAGGCACAAAAATCCCAAAGAAAACTGTGTCCTTAAAAAAAAAAAAAAAAGCACTATTCCACTACCTCCTCCAAAAACTCTAGAAAAATCTTCTCTTGGAAATGTGCTCCAAAGTCTCCTGAGAGCAGATAGGAAACGTGAAATTCTTAAAAAAAAAAGGAAAAAAACTCTCCATATGACCCAAGCTCCCAGATCCAGCACCGGGAATCTTCAAGGCATTGTTTTATGCATCTGTGTGTATGAGCGTGTGAGTGAGATATTCTCTGCAAAAAATATTAATATCCAAGTATTTTTACTATAAACAACATACACATCACTGCAAATGCAGGAACAATGTCCCAAACTAAGACAGCAAAAAACCTTGTATTCTGCAAAATGACACTAAAAAAACCAGGGCTTATGGAAAATACAGAGTTGGCGCAGAAGGCTCAAACCCCACTCAACTTTGTACCCAGAGCACTAACACTAACAAAACAGTAAGAACACTAAAAATTACCAATACAACCATGGATAAAAATGTGTTTTCTGTTTCCTATTACAGGATAAATGTGGGATTTTACAAAAAAGGAGGGTGATAAGGGTGCATGACGAAAGGGCAGGGAAAGACTCAGGCTGCTGCTTTACGGAGATAAGAGGAAAATGCAGACAGATCTGGGAAAATCAGACCTTTCAATCGGAGGCACAAAGCCAACAGCCTAGAGCAAGAACAGGGCGCTCACCTCCCCGGTTTGTTGGGTTCATCTGGGCTACCCTATCTTGCTTTCGACCACTGCTGCTTGGTTGCCCAAAATATTAAAGTGCTAATAAAAATCTCACATGAACCACTGAAACTAGCAACTTCTCAAGCAGCCTTCCCGTTTCCCAGGTGCAGATGGAATAATCCGCTTTACAGAAACAGATTTTAGCAGAACCGGTTGTGTGCTCAGATCTCCAGGGCCCCTGCCAGGTGAGTAGTCTGAGAGCAGAGCTCAGCTGGGGGTGCCAGATGGTAGGCGAAGAGAAGAACCACTGCGGGGAAATCTGGGGACCCAGAAGTCCCAGGGGGTCGGGGTCCTGACCGGCCTGCCCGCCAAGCTTAACACGAGAGACACTTCCTGTGGCGGGCACAGTGGGGAACCGGGAACCGGGACAGTAGCAGCAGGTATCTGTGCCCCACGGGGACTACCCAGGACACTGCAGGTGAGCAACCTGACGGTGCCTGGCAGGGACACACACCAGACCCACATTTCCTCCCCACCCTTGTTAATGACGCTTTCACTCTGGAGCTCGTGGTATCCAGGACTATCGAATCCAGAGCGGGAGTCGGGCCCAGTCCAGGGAAGGAGGCTGGGGAAGGGGATGAGAAGAAACAGGGAGTGAAAACAGTTCCACCCACTGTGGAGCACCCTGCACCCGTTACAGCCTTTCCTCCTGGCCCTAACCGCCCTCCGGACAGTTTCAAAGTACACTGAAGGGCTCCGGCTGCAGAGACTGTGCTCGGAGCCAAGCAGGTACCGCGCACATAGAAGATGTTCGGCGAACAGCATCCTGAACAGCTAAGGGAACGAGGAGGGACGGAGGACAGGACGGGCCACCCGTGTGGTTGGGTATTTACTTGGGACCACGATCTTTTTAGAAGTTTTGCTTTTACTTCACATATGAACTCTGAAAAGTTACCTTTTCCAATGATTAGATACATACTGAGCAGTTCTTGAGAATAAGGCAGCACTGTGGCCGTCACCGGTCCAAGCTCTGGAATCAGACTGCCTGGGTTCAAATCCCGGCTCTGCCACTTCTTAGCTGTGTGACTTCAGGCTAATTGGTTAACATTTCTGTGTTCCTGTTTTTTCATCTGTATAATGGCCATCAAATGGTACCTACTTGAGTAGCAGGGTATATGCCAGGCACTGTGCTAGGTGTCCTACATACATACATACACACACACACACACACACACACACACACACACACACGCACACATATACACACACATCATCTCATTAACTCAAACAAGTGCCTAGACTAGCACTGACACATGATAAAACGTTCCAGAAGTGTGTCAGCTGTTGTTATTTTTCTAATTTGGCACTGAACTGGCCACTTTATCAGTTTCCATTATTGCATTCTCTCAGCTCTTGCAACATGATGAATCAGCCTTCTGGTTGTCACAGCCCCTCCTATTTATGACATCGTGCGAGGTCCCTTAGGAAACAGGCGCAACCGCATCTGTCGGCTGATGACAACATTCAGCTCCAAGGCAACTTTTCTTGTTTTCTGTAGGAGAGGCAGAAAGGATGCTCTTGCTCAGTGTTACCGTGGGGTCGTGACAATTAACGGTCACGGCGTGGTTACTTATCGATGCAAGGTACTTTTGGGGGGTCTTTTCCCCTTTAAAAATACCTATCACACAGGTGATCGCTATAACAAAATTCTTCAGTGCTTTTTCTTTCTAGAGACCCTATAGTTGGAAGTATTCTAGTCTTTCTCTTATACCACGAAGTAGGAATTAGCTGGAATTCTGCAACAGGTGAAAGAGAGGTTGGCTGTGAGGCAGGAAAGAAAGAGAAGGCCAGAGTCCCAGGGCCAAATGCCAGGGGCATGCTCGCTTAAAGAAAAGAGATGCTTGCTCTGCAGCCCTGCAGCCCGGAGCTCCAAGTTCAGCGAGCCCTACCCCGGCCCTGAGGGGAAAGTTGGCTCCCGAAATAATTCCTTCAGCTGATATCACCTACCTAAGGGCCAGCAGGGGAATCGCTTTCCAAGTGTCCAATCACTGCCTGTCTCCAGGCAACTACTGGGTAAACTGCTTTTTTTAATCACTCTTTAAAAAAAAAAAAAAAACACTTTGCTTCCTGTCAGGGCAGCGACAGAGTCTATTTTAGGGGTTCAGGGGTGGGGAACGTGCAGCCTTCCAGGTCCGTAAGTGTGGCCTTTTGACTCAATCCAAATTTTACAGAACAAATCCTTTTATTTTCATTAATACATTTTTGTCTTTTATATTTTTATTTTTAAATGAGCATATTTAAAATACCAAAGAATAAAATAAGTTTCAATGAAATAATCCTCCCAGATTGACCAGCACCATTAGAATTTTAGTAAACCATAAGGGCTAAATTTTTTTTTTTTTTTTTGAGACAAGGGTCTCACTCTGTAGCCCCGGTAGAGCGCAGTGGCATCATCATAGATCACCGCAACCTCAAACTCCTGGGCTCAGACTCCAGAGTGATCCTCCTGCCTCAGCCTCCTGAGTAGCTGGGACTACAGGCACACACCACCACACCTGGCTAATTTTTCTATATTTGGTAGAGATGGGGTCTTGCTCAGGCTGGTCTCCAACTCCTGAGCTCAAGCAATCCTCCCACCTCGGCCTCCCGGAGTGCTAGGATTACAGGTGTGAGCCGCCGCGCCAGCCATAAGGGCTAAATTGATGGCTGCTACGCTCATGATTTAGTTCTAACTTCCCTTGCCTGACGGGCACCACTACCACACGGGGCTGACTGCTGAGAGTTTATGCGGGTCAAGCACACCAGTCTGTTATCAGTTTTTGACAACGGTGTACCACTGTGTTTCTGTATGAAGTGGAATTTGTGAACAGTTGCACCACTAGACAGTATTTTTTAATTCTGTCTGCTTAACGGCCCATCATGTCAAAGAAGACCGAGAGAATGCTGTCGGAAGACAATAGATTTTTAAATAAGGATTGGTAATTGTAGTATTATCTTGTTTCTGGTAAAGATAAGATGATTTGCTTGCTCTGTGATACTGCAATACCAACATCAAAGAAATTCAATGCTCATCAGCATTGCAACACTCATAAGGACCACAGATATTTTAAATTAGAGGGAGAGGTGTGAAAGGTTGAATTGCAGAAAGTAAAAGATGAAAAGCAAAGCAAAGACAATTCTTTCAACAATCAATAAGACCCGGAAATAATGCCACTGAGGCAACTTACAAAGTAGCTTATATACTTGGAGGCAGAGGGAATGAAAGCCATTCAGCGATGTAGAAATTGGGAACGATTGCATTGTTGAAGTTACAGGATGCTTAGACCTGGATAATGTCTCAAAGTACAAACAACTGCCCCTCTCAAGGAGAACCATAACTGATCAGCAGCATGAATTAGCCTTCAATGTAACAGAACAATTTCATGCAATTCTTCAAAAGGAAAACATACATTATTCAATTGCTTTCAATGAATCAACTGGTAACTACTGACTCAGTGCAGGTTTATACTTCATTCGGGTCATAACAGATTTTCTTTGCTACGAAGAGTTACTAGCTTTTGGCACTCTTCTTACAGACAGAACACAGCGAATAGTATCTTCAACAACTTTCAAGATAAATGTAGTGAAGTTGGACTGAATTTGGTAAATTTAGTGAGTGTATGTACAGACGGTGCACCTTCCGTGACAGGAAAACATGAAGAGTTTATTGCACAAAGAAAGTATTAACAGATCCAGATGCTGTCGTTTCTTTTCGTTGTGTCTTGCATCAGCAAAATCTCTGTGCAAAAGCTACTATTTTAAGTGACACTTTGTAACAAGTTATAAATATTGTTAACTATATTTGTGCAAATGCAACATGGCATCGTCAGTTTCATAACGTGCTAGAGCTGAACAACGAGGTATTCAGTGTGGATTTACCTTATCATTCTAAAGTGCACTGGCTACCGCAGGGACAGTTAGCCAAAATTTTAAATCTGTGAGAACAGATCGTTAAATTTCATGAAGAACAGAATCGGCAACGTGAATTGTTGAAAGAAGGTTTCTATAGGAATGCAGCATTTCTGTGTGATACGTCTAATCAAAACAACCTGAATACTTCTTTGCAAGGTAAAACTAAGTTTATAAATGATATGTGGCAAAAAAAAAATCCAAGCATTCTGAAAAAAGCTATCTTTTTTCAAAACACTTCTTCAAAAGGAAATTGCGGATGAACATTTTCCCCAGTTAGCAAAGGTCATTGATAAGCAGGATGATATATGCGAATCATCTGAAGAATACATGGCTGTTATAGATCTATTCATTGGAGAATACAATGAAAGGTTCACTGACTTTGAGCATCAGGACATCACACTCAAATTAGCATTTTGGCCTCACCTACTTGATATCACCAAGGCACCTAAACAACTACAGATGGAACTGTTTGAGTCTCAGGAGATGACGTCTTAAAGTCATTGTTTGATGCTAAGAAAGATCCAACCGCAATATGGAAAAATGCAGCAGAATACCCACACCGTTGGCAACATGCCCGAAAAATGCCTTCTTGCTCTTCAACCACTTATTGCTGTGAATCCACATTCTCCTGCCTACCCCAAATCAAGATGTCCATAAGGTCACAGATGATTGATCTTCTAGATGACCCAGCTGATCTTCTAGATAAACTGAAACTCACGAACTCCATGCTGCAACCAAAAATGCAAATGCTTTCCAACAAAAAGCAGATACAACAAAGTTATTAAAATGTTCGTTAATTTTAAAATTAACAAATAGTTTTCATTTTCTGAAGTCAGTAAGTAATAGTAGTTAGTGTTTTACAAAATATTGTACATTTTTAAGTGTATCTAATGGAAGTTTCTTGAATGCAGGCTCATTTGATTACAGCTAAATTAATGCAGCCTTCGAACATGAAAAGATTCCCCACCCCTGGTCTATTTTCTCTGCCATAGCAGAGTCCAAGTGCCAATCAGCCAATCAGGACACAGACTCGCTGAGAAATCTCTCAGGCTGCGGGCAGTGAGGCTGTGAGGCCCTGGCAGGGAACAGATTGAGTAAGACGAGGAGAGAACAGCACGATGACTAAGACCCAGCCCTCAGCTTTGGGACTTTGGGGTTTACCAAGGAAAGCAGACTCCCCCCACCCACCCCACACACACGAATTCATTGCAGTGAAATATGACAACTTTCCTAGAAGTGAATACCAAGGGTCAGGTGTGCACACAGAGGGGCAGGATTAATGGGCTTAGAGGAATCAGGGAGTGTGCCACAGATTTAAGCTCTGTCTTGAAAGAATTTTTCCTGGAGAAGTGGAGAAGGGGCATTCCAGGGTGTCCGTATCCCAATAGCCATTCTCCCCTTTCTCCTGAGGAACAGAACTTAGCCTATTGTCTGGGCATCACTGCTGCCTAGAAAAAGAGACCCTTCTCCAGGGTTTTTCCCTAAAACCAGGAGTGGCCATGTTACTGAATTTCTGGGCAATAAAACAGAAGCAGGCACGTCGGGAAGAATTTTCCAGAAGGCATCCTACAAGGGAAGAATGCACTCTTCATTTTCCATCCTGCTTCCTGGAAATGTGACAGGTGATGGCTCTCTGGCAGCCACATTGGCCCAGGAGGAAGTTGCGGGGTGGGTTGTCTGGGAATGGTGGGTTCCACTGTCGAAAGGAATCTCAGTCCCAGACCTCCAGGGTTTATAATTTATGGGGCTCCCAAATGGCATCTGACTTTATCAGTTTATAAAGCCCCCAATTTCAGAGGAATTTGAGGCCAGCTCTCAAATCAGGGGATATCTGTGCATCACCACCCAAAGTCTCCCCCGAAATTTCTCTGCTCACCCCGTGAAAAGCAAGCAGGTTTCCTGCAGCCCCTTCTTACTCAAGTAAAGCCTCCATAACCCCCACTTTGTCCAAGAATTTTAACCCGGAGTCCAGGCTCAAATATAAATCCTGAAGTCCTCTCTGCCATTTCTCCTAGAATAGTTCTTCATTTCCCTGTGCCTCAGATATAAGAGGGACAG